ATCTATCTATCTATCTATCTATCTATCTATCTATCTATCTATCATCTTTCTCTCTCTTCTTTCTATCATTTATCTATCATCTATTTATATCATATCTCTCATATCTACCTACCTACCTACCTACTTACCATCTAGTCCTCTGTCTGTCTATCTACCTATCTACCTCCTCCTTTGTCTTCTTCTACTACTCCTCCTCCTTCCTCCTTCGCCTTCTTCTTGTTGTTCTTCCTCCTCCTCCTCCTCCTCCTTCTCCCTTCTATCACTGAGGATGTTCCCTAGTTGGGTAATGAAATGCCTCCAAGAAAACAACCAAGCTTAGAGAGCACCAAGGACCCCATCATCTTTTTTCCTCCTCCTCCTCCTCCTCCTCCTCCTCCTCCTCCTCCTCCTCCTCCCCCCCCTTCCTCCTCTCTGCAAGGCTAGCTGACTCCCTACCTAGTAACATCTGGAATAAAAAACAACTGGAATTAAAACACCAAGCTCAGAGAGCACCTAGGATTCTGACAACTCGTAATGCATTCCTAGGCCTGTTTTTGAGTTGCCATAATCAGGAGGTTTTTTTTTTTTTTTTGAAAACTTGAAGGAGTGGTACGGCCATTAAAACCAGAAGTACATTCCACGCTTCTCTTACAAAGACTGTAGCCCAGGCTACCAGATCTTCTGCCCCAGGAAAATCCTTTGTTGGAGAATCTGATTTATGACACACTCCGGAGAGAGTGGGGGTGGGGAACAGGGTCACAGAGGACAGTAAACGACGTGTGAGAGTGTGGGCTACCTACAGGTCAAATGCCAACCTGTTGCTCCTCATCAATTGTTTGGGTTCTTTTGAAGTTTGGCTCGAGGATCATGATTTGATTCGAGCAATTGGCAGAACCGCAACAGACCCTACCAACAAAGCCCGGGCTTCAAATGTTCTCGTCTATTGGTAGCTTCCGAATTATGGTTTCCACCACCCGTATGATCCTCTGGCCCTCAAATGGAGGGGTTTCGAGCGATGGGGTCGATCTCTGGATTATGTCTCTAGCGGGATGTGGTGTGAGCCTCCTAGGAAAACTAGAGATGCTAGAAAGCTAGATCCTGTGGATGCCCAGAGACAAGAGTCGGAAGGGACCTTTGAGGTCATCTAGTCCAACCCCCCAACCCCCCAAGCGGGAGACCCTATATCCTTTCTGACAGAAGGCAGTCCAGTCTCTTCTTGAAAGCCACCAGGGATGAAACTCCCGCAATTTCTGAATAACAGAATAACGACAGAGCTGGAAGGGACCCTGGAGGTCATCTAGTCCAACCCCTATGCCATTTCAGACAGGTGGCATTCCAGTCTCCTCTCTCTTGCATCCACAGAGGCACAAGGTCAGGACTGTGGGGCGCAATAGGGGAGGGGCAAACAAACAGGCAAAACAGGGGCTGCCCCCTACCCCAAAATAAGAAGCTGTACCCCCTTTTTTTATGTCCTGCCATTTTGACCTTTTTTGTGGGGGGCGGGGGCTCCTTTGCTTCTATTTCTACATTTTGGGGGTGTTCCCCGCCCCCCCTCTGTTTATCCCAGTTTTTTGTTTTTTTTTTACTTTAGATTCACTTGAGATTTTTTTTTATTATTATTTTGCGCTGTTTCAATTGTGCTTATTTGAAAGCTCCGCTTTCTGGCTGCAAAAAACAAACACCCGGGCTTGTTCAAAAGACGAGGTGAGGGGGGGAAAAAGGAAATATTCTCTCTTTCTCCCCCAGGTTTTTCTTCACAGGTTGCCCCGGTACCTGTGCCTGCAGCGGCCGAAGCCCGAGCCCCCCCTCGAGGGCCCCCCTCCGCTCCACAAGGAGACCTCCGTCAAGAGCAACCGCTACGCCAATGAGTATTTTATCCGGACCCCCATCTATGACTTCTCCAAGCCCAGCAGGTAGAAATGGGGACTTTGGGGCAGGAAAGGAATACAGAGGGAGGGAGGGAGGGAGGGAGGGAGAGAGAGAGAGGAGGGAGGGAAGGAGGGGGGAAGGAGAGAGAAGAGAGGGAAGGAGAGAAGGAGAGAGAAAGAGAAGGAGGGAGGGAAGGGGAGAAGGGAGAGAGAGAAGGAGGGAGGGGAAGGAAAGGAGAGAGAAGAGGGAGGGAGAGAGAAAGAGAAGGAGGAAGGGAAGGGGGAGAAATGAGGGGAGAGAGAGGGAGGGAGGGAGGAAAAGGGAGAGAGAGAAGAAGGAGGGAGAGAGGAGGGAGAGAAGGAGTGGGAAAGAAGAGAGGAAAGGAAGGAGAGAAGGAGGGAGAAAGAAAAGGAGGAAGAGAAGGGGGAAAGGAGGGACAAAGAAAAGGAGGGAAGGAGGGAGGGAAAGGAGAAAGAAGGAGGGAGAGAAGGAGGGAGAAAGAGAAGGAGGAAGGGAAGGGGAGAAGGGAGAGAAGGAAGGAGGGAGGGAGGAAGAGAAGGAGGGGGGAAGGAGAGAGAAGAGAGGAAAGGAAGGAGAGAAGGGTGGAGAAAGAGAAGGAGATAGGGAAGGGGGAGAAATGAAGGGAGAGAGAGGGAGGGAGAAGAGGGAGGGAGGGAGGAAAAGGGAGAGAGAGAAGAAGGAGGGAGGGAGGGAGGATGGAAAGGAGAAAGAGAAGAGAGAGGGAGAGGAGGAAGGAGGGGGGAAGGAGAGAGGAAAGGAAGGAGAGAAGGAGGGGGAGAAGAAGGAGGGAGAGAGGGAGGAAAGGAGGGACAAAGAGAAGGAGGGAAGGAGGGAGGGAAGGAGGGAGGGGAAGGGAAGGAAAGGAGAGGGGGAAAGGAGGGGAGGGAGAGAAGAAAAGAAGGGAGGGGAGGAAGGAAGCAGCGAAGGAGGGAGAGAGAGGAACGAACGGAGGGAGGAAGAGGGAGAGAGAAAGGAGAGAGGATGGAGGGAGGAACGGAGGAGGGGAAGGAAGGAAGGAGGGAGAGGGAGGGACGGAGGGAAGGAAGGAGGTAGGTTGTGGGACGGAGGGAGGGATGGAGGAAAGGAAATAGAGAGGAGGATCAACAATTCAGGCCTGGATCCCGGCTCTTTTTCCGAGATCGTTTCCATGGCCTTTCTGTGGGTCCAGAGTCCACGTTCTGTGGAAGACGAGGCCGAAGCCTCTGGCCGGTCCCTGAGCTGCGGTCCTTCCCTCCCTCCCTCCTCCTCCTCCTCCTCTTCCTCCTCCTCCTCCTCCGCCTCCCCTCTGCCCAGGTTCCAGCTGGAGGCCTTCTCCGTGGACATGAGGAGGTTCATAGAGGGGCCCAGCCACTGCCTGACCCTCCCGCCCGACCTCAAGTCCGCCGTGGACACTGTCCTGTACATGGCCCAGCAGCTCCAGGAGCAGGAAGACTACGATGCGGTCAGTTGGGGAGGGAGGAAGAGATGGAGGGAGGGAAGGAAGGAAGGAAGGAAGGAAGGAAGGGAGGGAGGAAGGAAGGAAGGAAGGAAGGAAAAATAGAACGAAGGAAGAGAGGGAGGGAAGAGAGGGAGGTGGGATGGAAGGAGGAAAGAAAAAAAGAAAAAAGGAAGGGATGGAGGGAAGGAAGGAAGGAAAGAAAAATCGAAGGAAGGAAGAGGGAGGGAGGAAGAGATGGAGGGAGGGAAGGAAGGAAAAAAATAGAAGAGAGGGAGGGAGGGAGGGAAGGAAAGAAAAATAGAAGAGAGGGAGGGAAGGAAGATAGGAAAGGAAGGGATGGAGGGAAGGAGAGATGGAGAGAAGGAAGGGAGGAATGGAGGAAGGAAAAATGAAGGAAGAGATGGAGGGAAGAGATGGGAGTGAGAAGGAAGGAAGGAAAATAAAAGGAAGGGAGGGACAGAGACTGGAGGAAGGAAGGAAAAAAGGAAGGAAGAGAAGGAGGGAGAGAAGAGATGGGAAGCAGAAGGAACAAAGGAAGGAAAATAAAATGAGAGGGAGGGAGAAAGACGGAAGGAAAGAGGGAGGGAGGAGAGAGAGACAAAAGAAGAAATGAAGGGAGGGAGAGAAGGGAGGAAGGAAAGTAAAAGGAAGGAAAGAAGGAAGGAAGGTATTCTCGGATCTTCTGAATGACCCAAAGCTCAAGATGTCCAGCCCCACCAAAAAACTCCTGACACTTTTCATGGACTTTGATCTCATCATGGCGGCCATTGGGGGAGGGAGGGGGGGCAGAGATTCCTCCCCCCCCCCCAGACCTGACTTTTTTTAACCCCTTTCCTCCGGACCCCCAAGGCCGCTCGACCATCCCACCCGCTCCAAACCATCATGGCTTGTGAGAAGCTGGCCTTTCCCGAGGGTGGGTAGGATAGGCAGCACCTCACAACTGGAAGAGCCCCCAAGTTGGACGACGCAAGGGGACAAAATGGCCTCCTCCCCCCCCCTCAGGGGTCGCACAGGTGGAGGAGGAGGGGAGGGGGGGTCTTTCTTTCCTAGACGCCCACCCCACCCCCACCCATGGTCCTCTCTCTCCAGCTGAAGGAAGACTGGGAATTTGTAGCCTTCGTGGTGGACCGCCTCTTCTTCTGGACCTTCATCATCTTCACCACCATCGGCACCCTCACCATCTTCCTGGACGCCAGTCTCCACCTGCCTCCCGAGAAGCCCTTCCCCTGAGGAGACCCTCCCCCCCCCCCCCCCCCCCCCCCGGCCCCCCCCCCCCCCCCCCCCCGGGGCCAGCCGGTAGAAGCCGGCCCAGAAGCCGACGGAGACGCCTTCAAACCACCCGGAAGAGCTTCTCTCAACGCAGCGCTCTCCGAATGGGTTGGACCAGAACTCCCATTTCTCCCCCACTGGAAGATGGGAGAGGGCTGAGGCTCATAGGAGTTGGAGTCCCTGCTCCCCCCCACCCCCAGGAAAGGGCTGCCCCACCAAAGCCTTCCCCCTTTTCACTGCCAGAATTTTGGGTTGCAAGAATGAACCCTGGCACATTTTGCTCACGTTGGAAGAGACGGAGCGGGGTGTCCATTGGGGGTCTCCTTGTCTATTCCCCCTCCCCAATTTCCTCCTGGTCTCCCCCTAAATTCCTTCCTCTCCCAGTCTTGGGCGTTCCAGAAAGGTGAGACTACAGTTCCCATCATCCACTGCACACTCGGCCGCCAACCTGGATTTAACCGATTCTGCTTTACTTTTGTGAAAAATTAAACATTATTATTATTATTATTATTATTATTATTATTATTATTATTATTATTATTTTGCATTAGCATTATTAGCATTAATAGTATTATTAATACTATTATTATTAATAGTATTATTATTAATAGTATTAATAGTATTATATTAATAATGTTGTTATTATTATTTTTAAAAAGTGCCATTTTTCTTAATTTAATGGAATTAAAAGTGTAGACTGCGAATCCATCCTGCTGCACTCTGGGTACAAGAGAGAAAGTCCCCGCTGTATGATCTCAAGGGAACCCAACATTTTATCTTGCTAAGTGAGACATCGGTGAAGTCAGCTTGGCGTCCTTTTACAAACGTCCTTGCCACTGTTCTTAAGCGAATCACTGCAGTGATTCTGAGGTTTTCGCGGGTATTTGTATGTGGATCTTTGGTTATTCAAGTTTTCTCCCGCGTAAATTTGGAAGTATCTAGGTGACGTTTCGATGAAGTCTCATTCATCATCTTCGGGCTTCTGTCTTCGGCTCTGTGCTTCTCAGAGTAATGTGAGTTTGCAGCTGCTTCTTCCTTTTAACTGCTAGTGGGGGTGTGACTTGATTGGGTGTC